CTCTCGAGGCAGAGTTCGGTCCGGGCTTCTCAGATCGTGCCTCAGTCTTGCTGAGCTCAGAGTTCGCAGAAATGTGCCGCGTCGCCGGTACACTCAGGATCCGTGTGGGCCGGAGCAGCCCTCCACAGGGTTTGCCAGGCTGCGTGCTCCGATACTTGACACATCCTGCGGCAGAGCAAATTTTTCAAGAGCGTGGGGGTCGACTCGACATTGATGTGCTGCAGATTCGAGCTGGCAGGGTAGCGAGCCTTGTCCTACGACATGCATAGGGCAGGAGATTGTTGCTTTTCCGAGGATCCATACTAAAGTAGTTGGTCGCTACAGTCAGCCAGTAGCTCCCAAACCTCAGACAGACGTTATTTCTCCGGCAAGCCAGTGAACCTGAAGTCACAACCAGTCCTAACATGCTTTGCGACTGTGGGCCAGGCTGGAACGACCGCGACATGACACTTCGGAGCTTTTCATTGACCTGACAGACGTTCTTCAGAATGGCAGCGCCACTCCCTTACAGATGACCCCAGAATAAACAAACCTTTCGATGGCTTTTCGAGAAGATCCGCTTGGCTTGGGAGTTTTGCAGGCACAGTTGGGCAAGGGATTTTCTAGGTACACGACACCTCCGACTGCTCTTGATCTACCTATCGATAGGCAGTGGATGGGTGACGGAGCCGGGAACCGCCTTGGGCGACAAATATGGATTTCAGCGGGTCCTCGCTTGATGACAATGGCCTGGCAATGCCTGGCACATTTACGACACCATGGGCCTATTGCTGGAAGATCTTGTGTTCAACCAGAGTTCCTTTAAGGTCACGGTCCTGGTGACGGCGATGAGTGCGGATCTTAACGTCTTGATCTGCATGTCTGTGTCTGGCACGTCTTGGCCGGTTGCAGAGGGCCAACCGTTGCTCCTTCGCAAGGTCTAGACGGTGCATACAGTGATGTGCCATGAGCCCAGCTCGAAGGAATTGGCAATCGAGTTGTACTGAGTTTCCAGTAGAGACATAGCAGCGTCGACTGAGACCCGTGCCATGAAGTGCCTCTCGGAAGTCCTTTCAGACCTTTGCAGGGACGGCTTCGACGTGACCCGGGCAGAGCCTTTAGAAGACACCGCGCGACTTCCCAGCTTTGATGATTCCTTTGGATGACAGCGCATTCTCGTCATTCGCATGGGGAAAGGAGAACTCGCTGCTGGTCCTTCGGCTCTCGAAAAGTGGCGAAGGCCTGCTCCAGCTCGCGTTGTTTCGTTTCATAGGGTGGCTTGCGGTTTGCTAGTTCCAGATCGCCATGCAATTCGAGATTGGATTGGGTTTGAGATTGGATTGGACTTTTTGTCCCGCTTGCAGTTGCTGTCCCGGTGTGGACCTCAAGCATGTTGACCTGCCCAAACAAGGCCATGTGTGAGACAATGTAGTCCTGGCATAGCTGAGCAGTTTCAGTCGGTAGTCCGCACAGCCTTCAGATTCGCGATTGCACAGAGTACGTAATGATGGAGATTAACTCGACAATACAAGGCCGGTGTGTCCCGTGCCAGAGCTTTTATGTAGCAGACCAGATGTGTGGCGATGGCAGTGGTCTCTCGGAAGAGCGGCCTTGCACTGATGAGTCCGCACATCCTCTTGTGGAGAGCTCCACCGTCAAGAAGAGAGCGTGTTCCCTGCGGTGGGTAGCCCTCTATTGCTCTGTATTATTTGTGGGTCTCGCCATTGCATGTCTGGTATTCAGTGGGTGGGGTATTGGACCTAGCATTGCGCCACGAGCTGCAGCAGATCTTCCTCTTCTTGGCCTGGGGCATCTCAGCCCAGAGACGACCAATCAGGTGCTGTGTGTCACAGACATAGACCAGATAGTCAGTCGCATCATACTCTTTTCAAGCGCCATCGATCGAGCAGCAGGGGACTGCGACTTTGAAGGTATTCGGAAGAACAAGGGCTTGGGCAATTTGACGTCACTTGACCGAGAAATCTGTGCCAGCACCATCCTGGTTATCATGTTGAATGCGAATCTGATTACAGGTTTGCTCACCGCATCAATTTCGACTTGCACCGGGGCTCTCAATGTTCCTGCGAACTGTGGCACCAACATTGCAGCCTTCCTTGGTGGAACATCTATCCTTCTACAGTCGATAGTTGCAGTTGATATCAACTGCGTCAAACTCGAAAATCGTCCAATTCAAACCAAGATCGATGTTGCTCTGGCGAGAGCCAAACGGGAGAAGGACAAGGCGATCCACAGTGCACAGAAGTTTGTGAGGAATGCTGGCTTTGAGGTCGATGTGCTTCCAGCTCCGCCTGCCGTGCCAACGAAGACTGTGTACTCAGCCACCGCCCTGTGCTTCGCATTCATTAACCTGGGGCTCTCGCAAGTCATGAAGCTGGGGATCATCCTCGCAGACAGCAGCATCCATTGCACACGCCAAGCAAACTCCAGGCAACCGAGAGTGTGTGCCATTGACATTCTCGGAATTCTGATACTTTGCAGCGCCATTACGCGTATCTTTGCCCTTGCTGCGAACCAGTGCGTTCGGATCGTCGGAGACACGAATCCGAGCACGAGATGCTTGCAGGCCTCTGCCGGCGTGTCTGCGGGCGCCTTGGCAGTCACTGCGAGAAGCCTGAACCTGAGAGCGGCGTGTCAGGTTGCCTTCAAGGACTGGCATCCCCACGAGTGGCTAGAAAAGGCTCTCGGCGAGGGGCACGAGAATGTCCATTCGGGAATCCCGGATACTTTGGACGAAGACCTCACGGTGCCTGCAGAGGACGGCAATGTGATCATTCCTGATGAGTAGGCAAAGCACGTGCTCGCCTTGTCCTTCAAAGTTTCGTGAACGCAGCAAGGGCTGCGTCTCGACGCTTTCTGTTTTCCCGCCCTATTAGTGGTTTCGGGCCTCTCAGCCGAGCCGTTCTGCTACTCCTAGGTGTACTAGGTCCTAGGTTAGTGTGGTTGAGCCTTGTTCACCACACCATGATATCTGCATCGCCGTGTAACTGTGAGATCTGGTGGAGGCCTGCCCTTTCAGAGAGTCGCCAGCCCAAGGCTGGGCTGGGCCCACGAGGTTTCGTACGCTTCCTTTTGCTTTCCGAAGACGGCGTGGGCGCAGACAAACGGGATCTCAGGGCTCAAACGTTTCAGTGTGCCCACGCCCTATGCTTGCTCTGCTGCCAAGCAGCGAAGCAAGGCCGATAATACCTGCATTTTGATTTCCAACATGGACAGCGTGGCCATGCTGCCTTGATCGCATGAGCTGTTGCTGCCCAAGCGGTTCCGGACTTCTCTTTTCAGCCTAGACGGCTCAGAGAAGGATTCCACTGAAAAACTTCTGGTGGTGTATCGATTCCCAAGCTGACATCTTTGTCGATGACGCGCTCTCTCCTTGTCTCTTTCTGTCGCTGCATCCGTCTCTCCACTCTCAGCTCTGGCTCTTCTGGCAGTGTCTGTCTGTGTGTGTGTCTCTCAAACAGGTGAGGGACATGAAACACATGTAATACATAGTAATGACCCCAGAGACAAGACTCTAAGACGTATGCTCCGGCATCCTCCTGTGGGGTTCGCTTGAATGCATAACTGTGGGCTCACATCCTTCTGCAAAGCCTGAGTAAAAGGAAGAAGCTCGCAAGACCCCAGTAAGGCTTCATTATGGTAATACGCTCACAAATGACAGCATGGGGCTATTCCACATGACGTTCGAACCTGCATTCGTGATTGGTTCTGCAGACGTGCACGCAAACACATGTACCACAGGAATCCAGAAGACCAGTGTCTCTTCAGGTATCGACTTCTACCGACCGAGCCTGGGCATCCGCACCTCGGACAACCAGTCTGAAGAGGCCTTCGGCTGCCGATGCAAACCTCCAAAGAGTTTCTTAGCTGCCAAACTCCGCTCAGCCTGAAAAGGCAACATGTGCACTTGGAGTAAGAGCACGTCGCAACACGTGAGCTGTTGTTTCCGACTTGGGGGATGGCTTGTTCGTCCACCATCAGCTCCCTGTCTTGATGCAGGCAGTTCACCGTGGGCTCGGTGACGGTTGGCTCGGAAGCCTTGAACGGCTCCACTGCCTAGGCTTGACCGGTGCCATCTACATCGTAGGGCCTCTGCACATCCTTTGCGAGGCAATCCCCACCGCATCGTTATCAGTGGCGTGAAGCTGATCTGGGCCGGCTTTTTCGCTGTGCGGGCCTTTCTTCTTTCATTTGCAGTTTCCGTTTTCGGGGCGAATCGGCCTCAGGCCAGCATTGCAGCTGATGCCGCTGACTATCGCATTCTCCAGGTTTCTTGTTTCTTGGAGCGAAATGCATGGCCAGTCGCCGATATCGCTGGCACCCACTCGTGGAGGCTCGCGGTTATGCCAAGAACTTCGATGTCTCCGTGGAGTACCTGATGAGACGGGCCCTGAGCTGGCTGGAAGTTGCCGTGATGCAGCTCGATGTTTGCTTTCTGGGTACCGGAGCGTGAAGCGCGGCGCTGCAACAGGCCCCAAACCGGCCCAAACCAATATGTATGAGATTGTGTGTGTGTGTGGGAGAGACCAATTGTCATTGGTTACATCAGCTATGTGTTGGCACTACATAACATCACATGTTGACTAATGCCAGTCCTGGTGTTTGGCATGAATGGGTTACAAGCTAAATCTCATCCTTATCAGCACTTGTGTAGCCAATCTTCATGCTGACCAGACCAACTGCGACAATCTTGCTGCCTCGGTATAATCGGACAACTCGGGCGGGTCATGGCATCTTCATCTCAGGCAGCATGGCTCCTCTTCGGGCTTCAGCCTTACTTGCTGGTCGTTCACAGCAAACACATGCAGGGAGTTGCGTGTCACACCTTGCCTTGCAGTTCAATAGCGTTCTGAGGTTGGCTACTCTTTGGTCTTGCTGCCGGAGGCCTGGGAATGAGCAGAGGGGAAGTCTTGGCGGGGTGTTTCTGGACCTTGCGCTTGGCGCAGAGTGCGTTGATGGCTTCAAGCTTAGCAGCGCCAATTCCACATCCACTGCAACTGATAGTCACGTGCACAGGTTCCCATGGCTGCACGGCCTAGTGATGACCGGTGCTGCACTCAGATTGCGTCCTTGCACGCAACAATCATAAACACATGCTTTATGGCGCACACCTTCGAGTCATAATCACAGCCATTTAACTAGCAACGCTCCCTTGTTGGTGAGAGCGTTGCTTCGGAGCCCCTGAGCTCAGCAGCAGTGCACCGGAGACCTGCATTCTGCCTTTTGCCGAATCGAGCCCGTGCTCTCATCCTTGGAGCTCTGGCTGCCGTCTGCGCCCAGACCAGGCTACTCTTCTTTGCCTCTGAGTTCCAAGACCTCGGCTACCGCCAGGCAGACCACAGCAGCTTGTTTGCCCAAACAGAGGACACCACAGTTTGCGGGAAACCGGGACGTGTGGTGGCAGGAAATGGGGGAGGGGCGAGGTTGTACTGAGATGCTTTTCGCCTTGCCTGATTCAGAATCGGGCTTAACCTGCCAAAGTCCCAAACCCTGGGCAGTAATGGTGTGGCCTGGGCCCCAGGAAGACTCGGGTTATGACCCTCGCACTCGGAGAGTGGCTTCTGCGCTTGAGCTGCTTGTGCAGGCCGCCGGCGCGGAAGCCCCCAGCCACGAGATCGACCGGACCACGACCTCCATCTGGCGCTACAACCTGGAGGCACTGACTGGATCCTGTGCATTTGGGGTCTTTCGAAGATGAGATCGTGCTTGCAAAGCCCGGTGCAAGGCTTTGCCCGACCAGCAGATCCGTGGCAAGCTTGATCGAACTGTGTGTTTGTGGCTTTACTCTGCCCCGCCACATCCATGTTCGCACATTCCACTGAGTGCCAATTTGGGATGAAAGCATGCTGAGGCATTCATGTAGACCCCTCGGTGCCCGAGCGCTGGCGTGAAGCTTTCCGACAGGGCATTGAGGCATCTCTGCAAGCAGCGAAGGAGAGAGTCAGACCGAGAGACGGTTTGAGGGTTCGTGTTGCGTAGGTTTCAGGCGGGGTGGGGGATTTTGGTTTGGTCGCCGTCCTGTTGCTTACTGTATCGCACTTGTGCGTGCGAGCAGTCGGGAGGGGTTCCTCCACTGCCTTGGCTGGTGTTGCGTTCTTGACAGACTTCGCCTCATCGCCTTGCCCAGGCTTGGAATCTAGCATTCGCGCCGCTCGGACACCCGCAAGCTGTGAGGGGAGTCGTTCCAGGCGATGAGGCGAGGCCCGAACCACGCGGACGGCTCACGACGCAGTTTGCGTCAGCACGCAGTCCTGGCTCTGCCAGGATTGGCCCCAGGCCGGGAGCCTGGCCTGCGAGTCCCTTTGCTGCTTTGCATCGCAGGGTGTTCTGGGTTCTGGCATGCCTTGCCTGCTATGTTATGTTCGCACCCGAGTCCTCAGAGCTCTGCAGGACTACGACATGTCCGATGCCAGATTCAGCACGATCTCGTGGGATTTATCGGGTGGCCCTGGCCAGCTTCGAAGGTGCTGGGGTACGGATCTCTACCAGTGATTATCAAGAACGGGACAGTCTTCGATCCTTCACCGTGGCTGCCTGCCAGATGAAGTGGTCAGCATGGGGGTCGCGAAAGCTGGAGCCCTGGAAGCTGAGTCGCTGCTGCTGCTAGTAAGCAGCGTTCACGTGTCGACGGGGTTGCTGATGTAGAAGGATCCGGAAGCTCTCTGGAAAGAAGCATGCCGTGGCTTCTGGCCGCAAGGTCGATCCCCGGAGTGGTGAAATTGTCAAGGGCGACATCACGATGTCCAGCGGCCTTGCTCCCAGCTGCGAGCGGCCGAGCGTCTGACTGCCGCTGATGGTTTCAGGTTGGGTCAAGGCCTGGCTCGAAGACATCGACTCCTTGGCGCCGGGAGCAGAGACGCTTCGCCGCTTCGCCGCTTCGCTTCGCTCCGCTTTCGCTCCAGGCCGGGCCTCACGCACCTGGCGTTGCCTCGCGGTCCCGCCAGCGGGCACGGGCCCTGGGCGCTTTGATGCTGCAAGCTTCCATTTGAGAACCTGTCGAGGCTGAAGCTCTTGCAGACGGGGCGAGGCGGGTTAGAGCTGTGGTCGAGGTTGGATATCCCTGCGGCAACCGCTTAAAAGGCCGGCACCAGCGTGCGTGGCGGAGACTCGAGAGAGGCACGGCAGATGGCACTAGGGGCTAGAGGGATTTGTCCTGTCAGTTCGGAAACAGGGAGAAGAAGGAAGAGTCAGGAAGAGTGAAGAATGGAACTGGAACGTCGTGGCGCCAGGTCACGCCTCCCGAGCGGCGCTCGCTCGGCAGAAAGGCGGTCGGCGAAGTGCCGCCCTGAACGCCACGGCGATCGAGGATGGTGTCCATGCGGTTCTCGTAGCTCTCTCAACCGATCGCAATCCTACACTCTTCGTAGGACCTCGTGGCGACTGGCTTGCGGGCTATCGTCACCTGGCGGCTGTCCCTTCTAAGCCTTCTAAGCAGCTTTCAAAGGGCTCTAGTCGAAGTTTCAGACAGCTTACGGAAGCTCGCATCGCATCGGGCTTCGCATTTTCGCGGTGAGGTGATGCATGAGACCGGCCACATCTTGGGCCTGAGGCACGTGTGCCGTCGCATTCCGAACTCGTCCTGTCCTGGCTTGGGTCTCCGTGAAGGCACAACTTCAAGGGCAGCCTGGGCATCTCTTTGGACTGCCTGAAGGCTGAAGCACACCACAGATCACCACGGCAAAGAGTGGCTTACTCCGACATGCATCTCGGGACGATCGGCGGATGCTCTCAACTTTGTAGTGGCATCAGAGATGCGGAGCACTGTGCTTTGCTTCTTGGTGCGAGTATCTGGCGTGGCAGGCCAAAGCCTGCACTTCCGAGCATGGCTTGTCGGCCAGTGTAAGGCTCTCAGATTTCGGCCAGAGCTCGCGTGCCGTGGCACGCGCTCCTTCGCAGAGGTCATGGACTACGTGCCTCCGAACTTACATGGGGCAGATGCAGAGAGCTCGCTGGAAGCTCCGCAGTTGCACTGCGCATGCGGGCCCTCTTTTGCAGGATTTCTCCTCCTGGACTTCCATCTTGTTTGAGGTCGATGTCTTCACCCCAGTTGTCGGCGACTACGACAAGCTGGCTATAGCTTATGGCTATCGGGCGGTGGACCAGGCACCGAACGTTCGATTCGCCAGACTTTTCCCTCGCATGCTCCCGGTGAGGAGGCCCAGGCCTGGCCCAAGGTGGCGCCGGAGCTGCAGGACGCAGCAGCCCGCAGAGCGTAGCTCTGAGAGCCCCGGGCCCCATCCCCTTCCCAGGCAAAAAAAAGGCAGAGGGGCTTGGGCGATCTAGTGCTTCTCAGTTCTGAGGAAGCTTCATTCCTGGCGGACTTGCTGCACTCACCCGTCAGACGCAAGACAAGCCAACGACAAGAACGTCGATCAAGCAGTAGATGAAGTGGGCAGGAAATTTGTACGCATGCTTGGCTGGAGATTGTCCGTTCTGCCTGAAAAGGGAAGCCTTGACCCTTGTTGAACCCCTGTCAGATGTCACACTCGGGTTTCTTCTTTGGCGCTGCTTGCTTCTCAGAGCGGCTTCGTCTCATCCGCTGTTGTGGAGACTTGCGCGCAAACCTTCCAACGATTGAAACTTTTCGACTTTGTGCGAACTGTGAGATTTTGAGTTTGCAGGAAATCTTGAACGTTGCTGAGCAGCAGTTCGAGGCCGGTAACCGTGCATCACGCACCACCCTCGAGACCCGTTCAGGACATGCCCGCCGCGATTGGTTCAGGCAGTGAAGACATGGGCCGGATGCACAAGCATAGCCTTCACACGACTTTGGAGCCCTAGGGACTCTAGGACGAGGGACTGCCCACGACAACCTCCGAAGAAAGCGGGAGTTGCCAGACTTTCAGACGTGTAAACAAGCGCCGTTATTGGACGATGTGGTGGCGCCTCGCGCTCGGACTGCTCGGCAGCTCCGATGTGGTCGCAATAGGCCGCCCGCGGAAGCAGTGCCTGTTGTGCTTGGCTTTTCAGAACTTGCCTAGCTATGCTAGGATGACGATGGTAAGAGGTCTAAAGCCCAACCAGGGACTTGCGATGACTGGCATTTTGGAGAGTCAGGGCCTCGAGACTTCGTCAGATGCTTTGCGCCCAGAGGCTCCATCTCTGTTGATCCAACCTCTGGCCATTTTGTCGACAGCTTCGGCCGTGTACGCCTCTTCCACGGCGTCAATGCCGTTTACAAGGCCGAGTTTTTGAGGTGTCTGCAGCGCCGCAGCGCCAGCTCAGCTAATCCAGACTAGGAGCTTTGGGCCTCTGACCATGCAGATCTATCCCAATAGATGATCCATAGTCCATAGGCCATAGTCCCCTCAAGAACGAAGAGCCACAGTAGTTTGCTGCAGGAAGCTCCTTGGCTACCACAAGTCGAGAATTTCTCAGCAGAGGACTCCCTGGACCCGACGACGATCAAGCTCTTGAAGGCCTGGCACATGCTGTGGAGCATATGGCGTGGAGCCTAGGGCCTATGGGGTGGCGCAAGCAGCCGCGCTTGCACCCTAACCTTTGAGAATCTCCGTCTCCGCAGGACTGGGGCTTCAATGTGGTGCGCCTGGGAGTGCAGCTCGCCCGTAAGTCGGATGGGGCGGTGTGGTGCTGTTGACAGCTCTTACCAGGATGTGGCCAGGAGTGGAACCGCAGCCAGAACGCATCAATAATGGCTCCTGCCTCAGTTTTGCATCTTCGACTTAATGACAGGGCGAAACTATGCACAGTCGGCCAAAAGAGGGGTCTCCAGAGTCCTGCAGGCTATTTGCAGAGGGTGAAGCGCCTCACCCGTGACCTCGCCGAGTCCGGCATCTACACGATTGCCGACTTACATCAGGTCGCAACAAGCAAACTCTTTCACCAGCGTTTGCGTTTTGTTGAACATGTGGGACTTGACCGTGGCGGGTCAATCTAGTTTCGCTCATCTGGGCCTCATGAAGCGAAGAGTCAGTCGGAGACTAAAGTGAGGACATTGGCTCGAGCCACTTCTGTGGCGAAGGCGTGCCAGAGGCCAGCAGATGCTTCGGTTTCTACAGCACCGCGACACTGTCTCAGCCGGAGTGGGCCGCCTGAGCCGTTCTCGTAGCAATCGCAGTGAGACTCATGGACTAGTGCCACACACTTGCTACAACGGCATACTGATTGGTGAGGCTTACGTGGACGCTTTGCTGCGGGATCGGAGCAGTCGCATGGCCCAGGCTCCGAAGAGAAGGGATAGAATCACGGCAGGCCTCTTGCTCTTACAATGGTTTGCAACATGTTTACTGCCTTTGCCATTGCTCTTATCGTGGCCACTACAACTACGTGACTGTTGTTGCTGTTGCTGCATGTTGCTGCTGCTGTCGTCGTTGCTGCGGGCATGATGGTGCCGTTGGATCTTGCGAAAGGTGCCGCGCTTCCCGGAACCCCTCGGAAGCAACATCACGCGAAACAGCTCCGGCTTCCCCGAAAGAGCGGCGTGCTTGAAGAGGCTCCGCACTTCGGGCTGAGCACTTCTTGGCGAACAAAAGCTCGGGCTTTGGGGTTGAAAGGGAAGGGTCTGGAGTCTGGGATGAAAGTTTAGGGTTGAGGCTTGTGTGCAACACGCCGACCGAAGCCGATGCCCCAGGCTCTTCAGCGAATACTACAGCACCTTCCAGGTTGGCGCTCTCTGGGCCGAGCTTTATCGAGAAGGCGCTTCAAGCATGACGAGGTTGCGGATGTCGCGCAGTTTTCGCGGGGGCCTTTTGCTGCCAGGCTCCCAACTATACGAGGGCTTTCTGCGCTACTGGACTGCAGTGGCCGAAGAGTTCAAGGACGGCAGAGTTGAGTTGCGGCTGCCCCACGGTGCCGTGTGAGAGCTCGTGATCATGGCCAGGACGAGCCACAGCTCATGGCTTTCGAGCTCCTGAATGAGCCGTCCGGCACATGTTTAGAGGCGCAGCCAGTGTTTTCATTGCTTATTGCTCCTTCCTTCAGCTCTCGCAAAGCCTGGCGCCAAACGTGCGGGAAGAGCTAACTTGCCAATTCAGTGCAAACTGTTCGGCTGGAGCCAGCAAGCCATGGGAAAGGGCGGTTCGTTCGCCACACGATCACAGCTGTGTGTGTTTGTGTGTGTGCGTGTGTGTCTCTTCGTATTAGAATATCTATGTGATCGGGGGTTTCGTCGGGAAGAGTCTCAACAGCCAACTACAATCCAAACTAGAACTCGACGGGAAAACACGGCCTTGAGTCCCAAGCATTTTGCAAAAGATATGGAACTTGAGTCCTGCTTCAAGCCATAGCAGCATGCAGCTATCGAGCAATGCTTGCAGGCACGATCGGCTGCAGAATGTCTCCGGACCGGAGAGGCAGGCCTCCGTTCCCACCAAGCAGACTTCCAGGCAGCGTCGCCTCACAATTCATTGTGCTAGGCGATGCCGGTCCGTTTCAATGATGACACCGAGGCAGGAAGTGTTGACCGTTCCGAATCATCGACCCCATGGTATACTTTGCATGCATTACGCACATGACCTGAATTCTGTACATGCATCCACGACGCGCATGACTTGCACGACATACATTACACTACATATGAATACAAATTACTACCTACCGACTACCTATCTACCTAAATACCAACGGCCGGCTGACCCACAGACGGACGCACGGACATGATGGGGCATGCGTAGCGTGCAGCTGCGCTTACATGTACGTGGAGTGAGCACTGAAGAGCAATGCGCACCTTTGCGAAGGCACAAAGACTTATGCCTCTTTACCAGGCCGGGGGGGCCGATGTGTTTTGGCCGCGTCTCCTCCGTACATGTAAGAGCTAGGCGTCAGGCTGTCACGCAGGCAGAAGACTGTGCTTCCATGAAGACTGTGCTTCCCACGGCCTGGTGGCGAGGCAGCGGCTCGCGTCATCCGCGGCGCAGGAGCTCCGCAGGTGCCGGCTCGGGGCGAACCCAAAGGTGCAGACGCACGCCGCGGTGCATCCCTCTCTTTTCAGGTCATCCTCTACGAGCCCACAATCTGGCCTAAAATTGGGACAGAGGCGTGGCAGTGGCAGCAGTTGCATGCGTTGTGGGCCTGACGATGGTGTGGCAGCCGGACTCAGGTTTTTCCCGGCCCAGCTCTTGGGGATGATCCTCAGCAGGGCCTCGCCTACCACATCTACTGCGCACCAGGCCTCGGAAGCGCCACACTAGTCATCACGGGGGTGTCTCGTCCCGCCGCCGAGGGGACGGCAGCAGCGCCATCGCCGGTTTGATATGCGATGCTGCGCAGACCATCTTCGACCACTTCTCAGGGTTTACACCTTTGCAGTGTGCTTTTTTTCGTTCTCCCACTTGCAGTTTCGTCTGGGGTGTTTGGTCAAAGGAGCGCACCTTCTACCCCTTCCTACAAAGACACAAGCGCCTTGTGGGCTTCATGACGGAGCCTTTGTCCTCATCTGGCGGTGTGAGATAGGAGCAGCAGGTGAGTTCCTTTAGGGATTATGTGCAGCATGTCACTTCATGTCTGTTGCGTTCCAGACGCGATTCGCCAGAGCTTTGCCAAGGAATTCGGTGCCGTGGGGGGCAACAGCCGAGAGCTGGCACACCTCCGAGGCTCGCCCGGCTCACAGAATCCCATGAGATTGCCCCGACCTCGTGCGATGACCCCTGAGATCTTTTGCAAGCAGCAGACAACCATCTGCAAAGCTGGACATATTGGCAGCTGAAGAAGTTCAGAGACTTCACCACCGTGACTTGCACGGTGTTCCGATTGTTCTGGTGCTGCGTCCCACGAATTTGTTGCGACAAAGCTGTCACCGTGGAGTCTGATGGGGCCGCTGCCCGTGCGAGCGACCCTTTCAGTTCGACACCTCGTCTCATCGACCGAGTCTTGATTTGGAGTGGGCCATGGCAGCTAAGGCGAACGCGCAAGAGGCGCTGTTCACCGCCGACGGTCGTGTCGAGACAGAGAAGTTGCGCACGCTTTCGCGCATCTCGGTACAGCGATACTAGGCTCACGCTCTCCTCTCTTTCCTTGCCCTTTGTCGGTGTTGTCACTCCAACTCTCCGAATTCTCCGCATTCTCCGTCTTCGTCCCGAGGCACCTACGCGGTGGCCACGGCGGGCGTTCCCACGAAGATGCAGTTCGAGGCTGGGGCCTTCGAGCTCGACTTCGTGGCCACGGTGCAGGCACCAAAGCCCACGAGAGAGAACTGAAGAGACTCCAAGGGGCTTAGGGCTAAGTGGCGAATGGGATCGGCGGGTTCACAGAAGCGGCGCGAGGAAGCTCCGACGGAAATCTACCTGAACGAGGCAGGGACCCGGGACGCCAAAGGCCAAGGGAGGCTTGGACTCTGCCTTGGGGCTTGGAGGCACTGCACTACCCGAAGGGCTACTCCATATCTGTGGACCCTTCAAACTGTTTAACTGCTCCTCGGCGACGAACCGCAGGAGTGCCGCCTTTGCAATGACTGTTCTTCTGCCGAAGTTCTGCATGCGGCTGTAGCGCCGAGGTGCAGAAGACACAGCGAAATTATTTGAATCTGACGCTCGCTCCTGGGTGCCTGGGCCAGCTTCTGAAAGTCAGGCTCTGGAGCGGGAGAAGATGGGAGAAGGGAGAGCCGAGAGACGGAGGAGGGAGGGCCGGGAGGGCTGAGGGCTCTTGGCCCGGCTGCCAGGCTCTGGCCCGCTGCCACGCAGAACCTTTGAGCAGCGAGACGGGCAAAACATGCTTGGTCCTAGCATGCGAAGTGCGAAGGGTCAGGGGTCTGCTGAATTGCCTCCCCATGTCGATCCGGGAGACTCTTCATTCATTTCGATGTCCTGGCTACCGAGCATAAGTGCAATTTCCATGCCACAGCCTGCCAGGTTTGCTATGACGACGACATGGACGTGGAAGATCCAACTTGCATGGCCTACGACATGAGCGAGGCGTCGACTCAGAGCTTGTCGCCTGTGGCTTCGAATGAGAGCGAGCACTTGACGAGTCGAGGAGAACAGCGAGGGATCGTTCCTCTGCACTGCAGGATCCAATCGGTTTCTACGAGCAGGAATTTGCCCGTTATGTGGACGTATCCAAAGGCCTCTTGGAGCCACTCTGCTGCAATCTCCTGTCAGAACTCAGGTTTACGGACATTTGTGAGAATAGGGCAGTCATCGTACAAAAAGTAGTTGGAAGGCTACTGGAAGTCAACTCTGATGCAAGGTAATTGCTTGCACCAGGTACGTCTAGCCTCATCTTGTAGTAATCTCGCCGATGGCGCAGCAGTAGGTAGACTCTTGCAGTCCCTTGATACAAGGGCCTCTGTCGCGCCGGGAGAGCCCCTGGCCTTGTACGGCGAGGTGGGCTTCTTGTCGGCTTGACATTTGTCACCCACGATCTTCTTGCAGGCTTTGGATTTTCCCACCTTTGGAGTTTGGAACTTAACCAACATGTCAATTTGTCATTTCCGTTTTCTTCCGACCTAGGTTTGCTTGGCTATTTTTTCTTTTAGGGTTTGGGGGTTGCCGCAATGATCTTCCTTTTGCTGTTCCGTCGACGATCTTCCCGCGATCCGCTTGCCGGAATTGGGGCTTTCCAGCCAACATCTCTTGTTTAGATCTGGGGCTTGCCGCCTAATGTTTTCATCCTTCACGTTTTTTGGTTTGCCACTCCAATATGTCTTCTTGCAGTTTGCGGTTTGCCATCCTGTATCTTCTTCGTTTCGGGTTGGGAATTGCCACTCACCTTCTGTCTACGGTTTACTAGCTCATGTCGCCTTTGAAGATCCTAAGGTCCTAGGTTTATCGGCCGTTCTAGTTTTCAAGCTTCTTCGTTTAGAAGTTGGAGATTGCATCCATGACCAGGACCTTCTTTTTAAACACTGGGTGTTGCAACCCTTAGGCTTGGCACATCTTGGCACCTAGTATTGTCTTCGTTCAGTGTCTATAAGTCTATAAGGTTTGGGGAATTGCTGTCCAATATATCTTGTCAACACTTGCCACCCTGTTCCATGAAGGTCTAGGGATTTCCACCTAGTCTTTCGCCGTTCGACTAACATCTCCCAGGGTTTAGCGGCCCGCATCTTTCTCTTTGAACATTTGGAGTTTGCCGCCCATCTCCTTTCTTAAAGGTTTAGTTTTGGCAGCCGCGATTTTGAATTCATGTTCGGAGGTTGCCCCCTGTAACCTTCCCAGAATACTATAGGACCTGGGGTTTGCCACCTGCGGTCTTCTCCTCAGGTTAAGACTTTGCCACTCACCACCTGGAGGATTACACATTTCTTATCTGGTCTGGTTTCAGCAAAGCAGTTCTTCAGCTGAGACACCCGATGTGTCCCCTGAACAGGTAAGAGTAAGAGAGAGCGATAAAGTCGATTTCGCTGGTAGTTTTCAAGCTTCTTCCTCACGTCGAAGCAGGATTGGAGTTCGGTATCTTCTTCTTTCGGAGTTTGGGAGTTGCATTTGCCTTCGTTGTAGCAGTCTGGTCCCGGCCTTACAGTATACAGGGCCTCTGTTTTGGAGCATTGGACGTTGGAAATTCTAGGAATATAGGGGCCTTCGTTTTGTAGAATACGGTTTGGGGGCCCATTATGCTAGAATTATGATAAGGAACCCCCCCAAATAGTACTTCTTCTTCAGATGGTGCAAAGTCCAGCAGGGGACGTACCGCATGCAGAAAATAAGTTCAAGAGGTGGCGCAGAAAGCATCCATATAGTGTGCACTCACCTGAAGTGTGTGAGTTCGCCGTCGACGTACTACTAGCAGTAGTCGTAGAAAGAGTAGTAGTAGTAGTAGTAGTAGTAGTAGTAGTAGTAGTAGTAGTAGTAGTAGTAGTAGTAGTAGTAGTAGTAGCAGTAGTAGTAGTAGCAGTAGTAGTAGTGGTAGTAGTAGTAGTAGTAGCAGCAGCAGCAGTAGTGGTGGTAGTAGTAGTCGAAGTACGACTTCGAGTAGTGACCTGTTTTCATGAATGACTGTTAAGAGTTTCTTTTTGTGAGTTGCTGTTCCTTCTGAATGGTCTCACGTGCTTTTGGGATTTTTCGCACCAGTTCGCATCCCTAAGGCGAGGAAGTCAGAGTAGGTGAAGTTTGCGTGAGGCGGTGACGAGTCTCCTTGGGCGGGTCGAGTCGCTGGCAGCGAAGGTGGTGAGCTGGGTCGGTGGCATCAAGGCGCTCTTGTGCGGTCACTGTGCGACGGAACAGAGGTCAGCCAGAACATGACTGCGACGCAGTGTCACACCACCTGGCCAGGACGGCTACAAGCATCGTGGTCAGCAAGGAGAGCTGGTGCAATCCAGGTGCCGGGCAGCTGTGCGAGGATACCAAAGAGTCGAGGGCTTGCTTTGCCTCAGGGCACCCATCTCCCGCGCGTTGCAGCAGAGGGCGCTGGCGCTTCTTTTCAGGCTGCTGAGGCCCATTCACGGTTGATCCTGTTGCAGCATGTCTTGCTCCGGATAGGCTCCCATGAGGTTAATCGTGCTATGTTTGCATTCTGGATCAGAGTTACCGCTTGATCAAGTTGAACCTCCTGTGTCTTCTGGAAGCCCTTTCTTTGCGACAGATACAGAGAGCGAGTTCCCAGAGTGCAGGCCCAAAGCATCTGGCCTTCTGCCACCGCAAGACAACCTTCCTTACCTCGTCGAAGGCTCGGCTCGACACTGCGTGGGTCCGTCTTGTAGAAGCCCTCGCCGTCGAAGTGGACAGCTCGGCAGTCTCGAATTGATCGTGATTTGTCCTGCCAGGCAGTGCTTCGCATGATCACGTGCGGAGCGTCGATGTTTCCAGCATCGTCCACGACGTTGCAGGACAGAGGAGGGTGTTGAGACGAGAGTAAAGCAAGACGCCTGTGCCAAGCCGTGCGTCGTACTGCTGGGCCTTCAACGGCTCAAGGCAACGTTCTTGAATCCTTGCTGGGCGGCAAAAGGCTGCTGCAGATCTACAGGCATGGCTGACGTAGTTTAGTCATGTTAAGGACTCCCAGGGCTCGGGCAGATTCGTTGCCAGCGCACAGAAGAACCATGTCTTTTACCCACCACCCCACTTGCCTCACTTGCCCCTCTTGGAACAGGATCCCAGTGGGACCACCCAATTGGGGTGAAGGGCTTAGGGTAGGGTTTGTGCACGGTTTAGGGCTTAGCGTTCGGCGCGTTTAGGGTTTGGGTTTGGGGTTTGGGGCTTGCAGTATGTTTAGGGTTAAAGCTTGAGAATACCTCCTCGTTTTGCGATGTGTAGCCTGAGCGCATGCCTAGGAAGCCTTCATTGTAAAGTGTTAGTGCGGTAGGGAACATCAATTGTATGTGCTGACCGTAACGTTCCTCTCGAAGGCGCCTTGAGCTAGCTGGCAAAAAGTAGCTGTCCGAAGCGCTTTGTTACCAAATTGGTAGCGGAGCTGAGCCCTCAATTGCAGGGTGAAGCTCCAGCAGGGCCTTTGGGAAGCCAGTTCTCCGTTGTATTGCCTCAGACCGTGTTGGCTGGGGAAGGTGTAACACAGTGGAAGCAAGCAGTGTGATATTCCTTTGGTTGGTGTGGCTGGAGGAGTGTGCCTTACCATGACAGTCGCAGGGTTAAGGTACCAGCAGGGTTCGTATGCAACGGCCCCCATAGTGACAAAGAATGGTGTATTCATTTACAGTGGTACTCCAGAAGCATATCACGAATGGGAGTTCCGAACGGAGTTGCGGATCGTTGCATGTGAACAGAGAATCAAGAAGGACCGTAGAGAGCGGAAGCAGAAGAAGAACGAATCATTCTCGTCCTCAAGCAAGCCTGAGACGGGGAAGAGAGAACGGTCCCCGAAGAAAGGGCGTGACGATGACTTGGAGCGGGGCCCAGTGTCAGACACGTCCAGTGAGATCCCGAAGATGAAGGAACACGAGTCAGGGTCCGAAGATTCCGATGGAGAGAGTGAGAAAGATCAGTGGTTGGATGCTACCTTGCGTGTCATGGAGGGACTGCGAGGAGATGCATTTCAGAGGGCCAAGGACTTGGGTGTTCAGACATTGTCATCTCCGGGAGGTTTGAGAAAGCTAATTCAAGAGATCAAGCGCATGGTGTTTCCTTTGGGAACCCTTGAAGCACAGGCACTCTTTCGCAGTGGCCAGGCCCAGTACGGCCCACTGTCAAGACAAGGTGGTGAGAGCATCGTCAGCTACATCTCACGCCGAAGAAGGTGGTGGGAGTTGATGCAACAGCTTGATCCCAGAATAAGCTTGAGTGATGGACTTAGAGCAGAACTCATGCTGGAGCTAAGTGGACTCACCAAGGATCAGCAGCTAATGATTAAGGCTTGCGCAGGAGGTGACAACAGCTTCGAGAGTTTTGCTAGAATCATGATTGAGCATCATGGAAACATCCACTTGAGGGACAACCGCTTATTGGACCCATTTGGCAAAGGAAAGGGCAAGGAGCCAGGCAAGTTCGGTTCCAAGGACTTCGGCAGGGACAAAGGTAAGTTTGGCCCAAAGGGATTCGGCAAAGGATCTTCAGGGAAGCCATCTTACAATCAGCAGTCACCGTGGAGAGCGTATGCAGCCGAAGAGATGGGTCAACATGCGGAGTATTATGGAGAACCAAGTGGATCAGAGTACGAGCATTGGGGATACCTAGCAGAGCATTGGGGAGAAACCGATCCGAATGAATGGTGGTATGGAGAGCATGGTGAAAACCCCCAAGCATACCCAGCGTATACCCCAGACAATCAAGAGAGAGAAGAGTATGTATCTGATGAAGACATTGCAACCGCGCTGAACGTCATTGAATCGTGTGACCCAGATGCTTACCCAGAAGCAGCGGCAGAGGCTATTCAGCTGCAATTGGCTGCAAATGTCGTCATGGGCAAGGCAGGAAAAGGGAAATCCCAAGGGAAAGGTAAAGGATTCCCAGTCGTCAAGTCGAACTTGAGCATTGAGGATAGGAAGAAGCGCCTTCAGGAGATCAAGAGCAAATCGAGGTGTATGAAATGTGGTCAAGTTGGACATTGGAGTGGGGATCCACAGTGCCCGAAAGGACGTGGAGGTCAGGCACCCAACCAGACCCCAGCTAAGCAAGCATTCTTGGCTACGCTATCGGATTCGAGTTCAGAGGATGATTGTTTGCTGATTTCGGATGATTCGGCAAGTCCTCATGCGATGATGGCGTACAGGCACAGCCCAAGCAGGTTGACCAAGGGAGGAACAATGAGGGATGAGGTTCCTCCAGGTGGTGACAAGAAGTTCCTATTTGGACAGCATCGAGGGTTAACTTATGAAGAGGTCACATGGCGATTTCCGGGATATGCGTCATGGGGATTCAACGAACGAGCTCCGTCCTTGTATCTGTCTCAGTATCTGGATTGGGTACACAACTATTACACCATCGATCAAAAGACGATGGAAGTCTCCCGGCGAGAAGTCCCGCTCGACCAAATGGGAGCCCCCGGCGCAGAAGCTTCAGCATCAGATCAGATGATACCAGCAAGATCAGCGCACAAGTCAGCCAAGAAGAAGCCGCCAAATCCACCATTACCCGTGAGCTGTCGGAAATGCACAGATTTCAGTTTCTTGGGAACCAACGCTTATGTGCAGGTCAAGACTTGCAAAGATTGCGGTAAGATTGAGAAGACGAAGAAGGAGATGCCCGAGAAGAAAGACATCAACCTTTGTGAGCACAAGAACACAAACCGGCTAGGTTCCAATAAGGCAACGATGAGAGTATTCTGCAAGGATTGCGGGAATTTCATTGATGAGATGCCGAGAGAGGAAGCAAAGAGACGACAGGCGGTAGGAAGAGAGGTTGAGACCATGTCAGCAGCGTCGTTCGACTTGGTATCGAGCATTCAGCAATCCGTGAGTCAGGGTACGGAGTTGACTACCGAGCAAGCAGTGGTTATCTTGGACGATTTCAGAACCCAAGTAGAGGACCACATGGTAGCACAAGATGTAGCCGGAGAAGCCAAGCCCACCATTTCAGCAGAAGTATTGCATGGCATACTCCAAGATTGCATTGAAGCATCACAAGTGGCCGAAGAACCTGATCCACCTCGTGGACCGGTAGGTGTGACGGATTGGTCTGGATCCTCTGCAGCTCCTTCAGCAAACCGTCAGAGGACAGGATATGCGCCACGACGTTCGGGATTCATGGCAACTCTTGAGGAACCCGGACCCCTGCCTAACGATGAGGTTGGATTGATTCTCCCAGTGGTTGACATTATGGAAGACGAAGATGTTTGGGCTACTTTGGATGAAGGGGCAAACAGCAGCGTTGCCGGTGGTCAGTGGATGAACAGAACGGAGTCCAAGTTGAGGGAGTTGGGATTCGAGTGCCCGTGGATTTCCTCCGAACCCAAAACATTCAATGGACTTGCCCACAGCGCCTCAACCGTTGGCACCCGGCGGATTCCCTTCAGCATTGAGACTTTCGGGAATTCACTCCTTGACCGTGGTGGCAAGGAAGGTTTGACCCAAGACCCGAACAGCAAAGGAGATCAGGATTTCACTTCGGGTTTGATGGATGTGCATGTCCTACCTGATGATACAACGGCTCCGCTTCTCATGTCGCAGTTCGCACAGAGTAAGTTGGGGTTGGTGAAGGACATGGGGAATTTTCGGTGTTACATTCGCAAGGATGGCCAAGAATGGATGGTTCCATTAGCCCGAGCCAGGGGGAGTAATCTTCTGTGCATCAACTTGACCAAGGGATTGAGACAGAAGACGGAGTTGCCTAAGGCCATTCGGAAACTCAGGACATCCCAGGCAGTACTGAGCACCAGTTACACAGCAACCACTGAGAGTGAGCGAGTGGTGCGGAGAAGTGAAGGGGATCTCGAGGCTCTGCCCTCCATGGAGGTTTACGCGGCATCGGCTGGTCGTAACTTTATTGCGCAGGCTGCGGAGTACTTGAGAGAGCCCTGCCATCAGAGGGCTGTATTGTTGGCGAAGGCATGTTTTCCCGATCATCGCATTGCAGACGATACAGCTATCTTCGTGATGGACACTCTGCGGTTGAATGACCCAGAGGATCGGCCACAGACTCGGGGACATGTGGGGAGGCACCCCGATACGCTTGCGGCGCCGCTACGAGATGTGAACTTCCTTGCTAACATGCGCGAGCTCAAGCAGCGGCTGGAGCAGGATGGATCGGTGCGGCCGAAGCGTTGTTACGTAATCTTTGTATGCAACCAGTCCCGACATAGATCAGTGGCAGGCGCGGAACTTACAGATGCGGTAGTGCCGGAGGGCACGAGGCTTCAGATTGTGCACACTGGTGAGAGAATTTCGTGGCCTCAGATGAGATCTTGTTATGGCCGCTGTGATATTTGCACATGGTCAGACAGTTGGACGGTTCATCAAGTCGAGAACATCTTGGAGGAGGCTCGCCAATGGATCACAAGGGCGCGAGGACGGCCCACGGACGCGGCGAAGTTTTATGGAAAATGGACCCGCGAGCGCGCAGAGCCGAAGCCGAAGGTGAGAGCAGATCGTGCTGAGTATCTTGAGCCTCAACCGAAGGTGAAGGCAGTGAAGGCTAAGGCCAGGCCAGCTGTGCGTGTTGTGGTTCCTGATGATCCCGAGCCGGTTGTGCGTGCTGCTACTCCTAAGCCATCGGCTTCCCGAGCTGCGAGCTCTATCCCAAGGCCATCTACTCGATCAGAGAGTCCTGCTGGGTCTGTTCCGGCTGAGAGCGCTGCGACGACGACTGATCCGGTGGCATTGGCTAGGATTCAAGCGTTGGAGTCGGAGGTGAGTAGGCTGGCAGGTTTGCTTGAGACCCGGAGGGATGCCAGGGAGGAGCCCGCGAGCAGGGGGAGAGAGCCACTCCCGAGGCAGCGAGCCAGGGATGTGACTCCGCCGTGGAGGAGCCGATCGCCTTTGCAACGGCGGCCGACAGTGGCACCTAATGCATCCGTCGCGACGACTGGGGATTACCCCGAAATGGAGGAACTGATGATCAGCGATGGTGCAGGCGATTGGCGTGG